TAGGTATTCGCGCGCTCATATGACCTTAGCAGTTGCGAGCGTCGTAAAACCTTATACTATACATACATATATTAGGTAATGTGGAAACAGACATAGCTTATGGGTTTTAGAAACACCTCGAAATCAACCATCAGGCCAAAAAGAACCATGCACAAATCAGCCAGGCCAACATATTTTTTAAACGAATAAAATAGAAAAGAAAGTTAAAGGCAAAACAAACATTTTTATAATTGAAGCTTCAAAAGTCAGATAACAGCAGGAATACTATGCAATAGACAAATTCGTGTTTCTGATTTTCCTTGAGAGTTTTGAAATGTGCCTCAACTTTTCTTTTGATTTTGCCGTTGATCAGACGTATTATGCGCCAGTCACATGACCAGAGTCAAACTTGAGCCCGAACTTATTATCCTTTTGTCCAAAAAAAAGTACAAAAATGTTAGTTATGTTCGTGTGGGGGTATTTTTTAAACGTTTGATACATCGTGAAATTCAATATAAGAGGAAAATAGTTTCACAATTTTCGAGAGTCATCCTAATGTTCTACAACGATAAGCAGCTAACTACTGCACCATCGACGCGGATGGTCTGATTCCTGACATCTGAACATACAAGTTTTATCATGCTAATGACTTAGAAGAAGAAACTTTAGCAGTTACTTACATAAAAATCAGTATCACCGTATGGTCACTTTAAGGGTCGTTGCTGTGGAATCTAGCAATCACCGCCTCAGCTGGCACTGACATTAGTGACAATCTCCTCGAATGCCGAGTCATGAGGTGGGTTCCTTGTTGGTACGTGTTCTCTTTCCGAATGTAATCTGACTAGACTAATACTCCAACGTCTATAACCTTGGGCCTGTCGAACTCAATCCCGACAGACTGGGGAGGTGTGGGCGAATCATCAACTCAAATCTGTTTCCTGCAGCTTCTTTGTCACAGAGTCTTTGGAAAGAAATACACAAGATTTTTTTAAAAAGATAAACCTGGTTGACATATAAGCTTTTGATAAACCATTTTGGTCAACCATTGCAATTTGTTAATTTTATTAATAGCTTATATCCTGACACTTTTTTCTATCTATCTA